TTGTTCGGAATATTGACATGGCCAAGGAAGGGAGGGCTAATATCGCGCCCGCATACATCTTGTGGCGTATGTTGAGGGAAATTCTATTCTTTTCTGTCTGTCCGTTTGTCATGCTATTTCTATATCCGGCCGATTTTGGCTCGTTGTTTTATTTTTGCACGCAAGAAAATTTAATTATTAAGGATTTAAATGAGCACCTGCAAAATATATATTACAAAAGAACACCACGACAATTGCCGACGAGTTAAAGCCATCAGCTCACCGTTGTTCGTTACATAACTCCGCGATCGTCTGCGTTCTACAGGAATCTCGTTTCGTCAAATACTTTCGGTGAACCGCGTCTTACCATGCGCAACACGGCTTATACTTGGCCAACCAATAACTTTTACTACGCCTCCCCATCGTAGCTTTATGATAGAGTAGTCCGATTTTAGTGGATTTTTTATCTGGTTTGAATTTTCCCTAAATTCATTTTTGAGTGATAAAAGAAAACGAAGTTTTAATTTTTTTAAATAAATGTTATAAGATTTTTTGTTTTTCTTAATTGAAAACTGAAAGACTAGTTTACATAGATACAGAAAAACAAGAGACAGACGTACGCGTCTAGTTTCTCTCAGGTGTTAATGATGATCAAGAATGTATATAATTTATGGGGTCTAAAGTGTCTCCATTTGCCATCTGACATCTGACAGATATTATAAAACCTTCTCCAAAGGTGTAAAAAGTTCAGTTTTTTGTCGTTCAAGCTAGCTAATTTTCTAGTTTCAGCAAGATAGTTTTAAAACTGATTCAGATGGTGGTGTTGATCAAGAATATTATTAACAATTTATCTGGAGAATATGCCAGAATTTGCCACTTGCCTGGATATTTCAACAGGACAACGACCCGAAACATACCAGCAAGATAGTCAAGTCGTGGTTTAGCCAAGAGAAAATCAATGTTTTGCAATGGCCACCGCAGAGCCCCGACTTAAACCCTATAGAGAACTTGTGGGGAATTCTTAAACAAGTCGTTGGCCAAAAAAAAAACAGCAAATAAAAACGATTTGTGGCGAGTTTTGCAAGAAGAGTGGAAGAAAATCACCCCTCAACAGTGCGCACGTCTTGTGGGTTCAATGCCAAAACGTTGCTCCGCTGTTCTTAAGCAGAAAGACCTTTCCACTCAATATTAAAGTAAATTTATTTAAATTATAAGGAATATTGGGCCAATTTTAACATTTTCAACCATTTTCTTCCAAGTTTCTTAAGTATGTGAGCAGGACATTTTGTAGATGGTCTCATATTTTTTAAGTTTTTCGTTAAATATATTTTTATAACTTGGTTATTCTTCGATTAGAACACTGATATATAGAACTAATGTGACACAAAAAATTGGAGCTGTGAAATAAAAACTTTTCTTAATTTTCGTTTAAATTCTTGGTAGAAGTCTTGTGACTTAAGTCTATGAGCACCACTGTATACTTATGGGATCTTCGGCAAGCCGAAGCTTATATACCTTTACAGACTTTAAATTTAGCGAACAAAATACATAAAGGCTAAACAACATCGATATAGGGGAATGTTGTCAGGGTTGGGCCATTTTCAGAGTTGGGCCATCTCAATATTTCGAATATTCGTTCTAGTACCTTCTGTTTGTGGGTGTCAAGAAACTTCTATCGGTCACTCGAAACTTTCCACGTGACTACTTATTTCGGGATTTCATTTTTCTACGTGTCGTTGTTCTTTGAAAAAAAAGTGCTCGAAAAAGTTTTTTTAACCTGGCCGAAAAGGTGGAATAACACAAGATTACAACATGTCATCCGCAAAGTGAGCATAAAAATACGTTATATAGGTGTTATACTACAAAAAACTAAGATATAGTTTCATTGATAGATATAGTTTGGCTATATCATACCATAATAGATTAATACCGCATGTCGTCAGGGTTGGGCCACCTTTGTAGTCAGGCTTGAGCCATCATAATTTGTACATTTTATTCGTGTATTTTCGATTTTTGTTGTAATATTTAAGTTTTTTGTAGCAAAAATATGCACAATAAAATAAATAGATTTCCTTAAAAAAATATTTTGATGGATTGAAAGAAGATGAATCATTTTTATCTTTTTCTTTAGTGTTTCTCGAAAAACAACTCTGAATAATTTGATAATTTTACTGTAAAATCCCAAATAATTAAATAAATAAACAAAATAATGTCAGATTTACCTGAATTGAATTTTATTCCACCACGTTACGATATTGTCAACGATTTTCTGAAGGTGGCCCAACCCTGACTACATGGCCCAACGCTGACTACATTTTTTTTTTTTTTCAAACGCCTATAACTTTTTTTGTTTTTGTTTTTTTATTCTCTATTTTTGGTGAACACTTTCTCTTGCTTGTACCTTTCCAAAAATGTATAAACTTATTCTGAATTGTCATTCGTTCAGAACTTATGGACATAGGTCAAAATATGGCCCAACCCTGACAACATTCCCCTATATGACATATGACAGCTATTTGATATAGTCTTCCGATTTTGATAAAATTTAATTCGAAATTCCAGACTCGTTAAAAAACTCTATATTCGAAAAATAATGATTGTCTGATGACGGACAGACGTTCAGACGTATTTCGATTTAGATCGTGACGCTGATCAAGAATATACAAACTTTATGGGTTCTGAATTGTTTCCTTCACTGCGTTGCAAACTTCTGACTGAAATTATAATACCCTTTGGTGTGCAAGGGTATAATTGAGTGTTTAAAAAATATAATGTTTTGTGTCAATAACGCTTGAAAAGTGTTGCGTGCATTTGGGAGTCAAATTTTGTAGATTTCATTGTAAAAACGATGGCAGCAGTTATATGTGGCGTTAATGGTGCTGATACTTAAAAAATTTAATATTCATACGCTATTAAACACATACAAAAAAAATTTTAAGTCGATATTCCTTCTAGAGGTATTTTTGGCCACTTTTTCCAAACAAGATCGACCACTGTGTATTATATCGTTAGCAACAACCGTTAAAATAAAATAACATTTTGTACTTCTCTTGATTAATAAATAATGTTTTGTGTTTTCTTGTAGGTGGGTTTCAGTGGGCGAGATATACATACAGTAGAACCCTGTTATAACGACTCCGCTTATAGTGTCCGTCCGGGTATTGCGACGAAAACTCGATGGCTGGATTGGTCCCCAGACAGACTTATACACTTATATCCTTTTGCTTAGTGCGCCTTTCGGGTATAACGACGAAGACTCGTCGGTCCCTTGAAAGTCGCTATAAGCGGATTCTACTGTATTTCTTTACAGAATTGGTCAGCCAGAGTCAATGATGCATGCTGCAATCATAAGAGGTATTATTTGTCTGTCAAAACTAATTTCAAAATACCTTATATATTTATTTTCAACATTTCCTTTCCTCTCCTTGCGTGGGACTACAAAGTGGGCGAACTTTTCACAAGCATATTAGGATCCCGGTGTTCTCGCTGACATCCGACATTATTTTTTCGGCTTGCGTAGACGGATACCAGCAGGGGCACGAAGAATTTGCATCGGGTCTGTAAAATATCGGTTCCGAGCTTCACCTCGAAAATTCTGTGCTGGTATTCCCTCTGATTAACAAAATGTATCTCCGAAAGCTAACATTAGCGGTTCCAAGAGATTTTCTGATGATGTTAGTTGGACGATGGTCACAATTACAATTTTGCACACATGCAGCATACAAATTGTACATTTCAGCAATGCTTTGCACTGGCCGGGTCCCAATGCTTGCACACGACAATCCCTCATGGCGCATAAAGATTACCTTGGCAAAATCGATTCGACAAATTGGGGATGTTTGACTCTGTTATAGAGTTTTTGAAAACTAAAGAAACAGAATTGCACGACAAGCTCACAACATCAAAGAATGATATAGCTTACATGACAGACCTGTATAAATTGGTCAACGAAAGGAATCTTCAACTGCAAAGCGATAAACTAAATTTAATTAAAACAAAAAACGTCGTTGCTGCTTTCGCAGCCAAACTGCTTCTACACAAACAGAATCTGGGCAGACGTGTGTTTCACAATTTTCCAAATTTGTCAGTATCATGCAGTAACGACGAATTGTTTGCCTACTGACGTACAGACGTATTTCGTGATGCTGATCAAGAATGTGTATACTTTATGGGGTCTGAGGAGTCTCCTTCACTGCTTTGCAAACTTCTGACTAAAATTATAATACCCTTTGCAAGGGTATAATAAATATATTTATAGTTTGTACAACCCAACTCAAAACAAAAATGCTGTGCTATTAAAACCCCAACTTAAAACTAGTGGTCGTGGCACTTTTTATCAAAGTTGCAAGTTTAATGCAAATGTTTAAGCTCTTATAGTTTTCGAGATATATCATATCACTATGTCATATAGCGGTCATATAAACAAACGTCGAAAATATAGAAACTTCATTAAAACATCGACAAAGCTTCGATGTTGTTTAGCCTTTTTTAGCCTTTATGTATTCCGTTTGACATAACTGATGACTTTTTTTTTTTTTTTTTTTATTTTTATCAGTTGATATACAACATAACATATTTTTATTCCTACGTTTCAACTAAGGAGAGATTGACTTACTTTTGCACGTGTTACGCTCAGGGGATAGGGAAAACGAATTAACGTATGGGAGGCCCCAAAATGTATCTGTTTCCCCAGGGCCCGTGATTCTTTGTCCACGCCCCTGTGGTCGAATCCAATATTGCCAGAACAAATGGAAGGATCTAAAAGATGTAAACACTGTTTGGTGACATTCAAAAGATTTGATTACGGAAAATAAAAATATTTTGGTTGCTTCGAATAACGCAAAAACATCGAAAAATGAAAGTACCCCAAAAAAATAATAGAAAGATAAATAATAAGAAAACACAACTGCCTATTCTGAGGATAGCATACATACACACGCACTTACAAATAATTATTTCTGCAGTGATGTATTCCAATAATAAGTGATTTTATTCTTTTTTATTCTTATAAAATAGTAACGCGTGTGCGTCGCCCAGCTTCACTGAAAGATTATCAGTCCCTTGAAGAAGGCCATGATTTACTAAGCTCTAACTTCACAATGTAAGTTTTACCTCTAAAAAAAATTGGAATTATGACTTTAAACGTATGTTTTTAGGAAAAAGAGACCAGAAGCCAATTTAAAAAGCTTTCCACACATGATAACTGCAAACAACATTGAAGGAAAGAAGGTCACTATATCAGAGGAGACAGTTTGCGCTTCAAGCGAGTCGTTCGCAGAGTGGCCCGGAAATGAACGACTGTACACGGAGCTTGATTCCAAAGGCAGCATGGTCAGCAGAGCTTTGACCCCTTACGAGTGCCAGCTTGAGGACTACGTGGAGCAGCTGCAGGAGGACCTCTTCACGATCTCGTCCCACTATGCAAAGATTCAGTTTCGTCTGCGACAGATATCCTCGGCCTCGGCATGCAAAAGGGATGACTTGCTGAAAGATCTGGAACTCCTAACGACCCAGGGACTGGATGATTCTGTTCAAGGACTGGAAAACCTACTCTCCCACTCGACCAATAATCGTGCCAAACAGAACAAGATACTCTACCAAATGCGAGGTCTTCTCGAAAATTTGGCCGGAACAACTGAAGTATGCTTTCAGGCGGGCTCCCAGTGTCACATCAAACAGGCAGGGAAGACAGTTATGAAAAAGAAGTGAACAAGCCTCTCTGTCAGTGTATAACAGCTTCCTGGAATGTAACACAAAACAAGAAGTTGTTGCGTGAAAAGCTTAAAACCTATAAGAACATAGGGAGTTAGGGAAAACACTATAAGCATGGACACGTTGCTGACGATGGTAGGACATCCTTCCGAACACCAGGTAAAGAGTTTGAAAAGAGGCTAAGAGTGGTAAGCTCATGGATTTGGTGAAAGGACAACGAAACAGCCAAAAACCCATCCAAGATATTCTTATTTGGACATTATGTTCTTACTTAAAATAACAATTCGGATAAAGTTAAAAAATCTTTATCCTCCCCAAATATTTCCCTGAACATAACTGATTTTGCTGTGTAGTGCTATATGATTTTTCAGATAAACGGAAACATCAAAAAAGATATATGCTACCCTAAAAAAAGAAAGTTGTATTAGTTTCAGTTATCGAAGACAACTGTATTTATATTTTTACAAAATAAAAGAGCTAAATAAAAAAATTTGGTCTGCTTTTTTTATAACAAAAACAGTGTTTCGGAACCTAGTTCCAACATGATATTGATTGCAAGTATGTTTCTAGTCAAACATGAAAAAAAAAGTATAACGTCGTTATTGTAACATATATTGTGTTTCTTAGCGACTCGTGATTTACGAACTAGAACAAGAAAGAAAGCTAGCTTCAGCAAGCCGAAGCTTATATACCCTTGCAGTCATCAAATATGACAAACAAAATACATAAAGGCTAAACAACATCGAAGCTATGACGATTTTTCTATTAATTTTCCATATTTTCGACTATTGTTCACATCGAAGCTATATGACATAGTTGTCAGATTTTGATGAAATTTAAATCGTAACTCAAGACAATTTGGCAAAGTTTCAACAAGATAGCTTTAAAACTTAGAGACTGGTGTACATACAAACGGACAGACGTACAGACATATTTCGATTCAGCTCGTAATGCTGATCAAGAATATATATACTGGGGTCTGGGCTGTCTCCTTCACTCCGTTGCAAACTTCTGAATGACCCTTTGCTCTGCAAGGGTATAACTATGTCATGTAGCAACCATAAGAAAATCGAAAAACCGATCGAAACAAGAGGGAACGCTTTGGTCCCGTACCTGGACTATCAGATACCCGTTACTGAGATATAAAGCCAGATAGGGTGCCGGATATGGAGCCGGAAGGGGTACCGACACTTAGCCCTCCCGTTGCGGAGGTGGCGGCGGTTGAGCCTTATCTATTAACTTAAATATATCATCCAAATTATTCTAACATAAAACTTGTGGACGCCACAGATTTTCCCGGTTTATGGATGTAATAGTGGGCGAGGCACGAGAATATATATATTTCTGATAAGCATCAACATCTGAATTGATCTTGACGTGTAGTCTATATTGAAAAAATTACGGGAAATCTAGAAGGGAAGCTCAGTTCGGCGAGTCGAATCTTATATACCCTTGCAGTCATAAAATATGATCCACAAAGTAACAAGAGGCTTAACAGCATCAAATGAAGGTTTTTTTAATGTTTCTTATATAATATTTTTGACGATTGTTCATAAGAAAAAAGTACTATTTGATTGAAATTGAATTCAAAATTCAGGAATCATTAGAAAAGTCTATACTCCAAAAAGCATCCTTGTCTGATGAAAAACAACGCTGTTATAATTTTATTTCCGGTACTTCTATATAGATTTTTCGATCTTTCCTGTAGCAGCTATATGATATAGTTGTCTGATTTTGTTTTGCCCTTATTTATGTTGTTTGGCTAGAGGTAAAGGCTTATTTTTTTTGTGAAATAAAAATATATCAAATACCAACAAACAAGTCGAGTTTAATCTTTCGGTTGCTTGCTTATCTCCGACTACAAACCATGGCCGTTGAACCCAATTCATCACAGGCAAAATCCTAACCAGCATCCCTCAAGCGGCAATAGAATATGGTTAACAATGATCAATTCAGCCATAAATACGCTGAGAAACCAGTTTTAGGCTGCGTCGTTTTGGCAATTTTCCGCGCATGTGCGACGCTGTTCCTCCCGTTCTTAAGGGTTTGGGACTCTTAGCTTGTTTTGCCCGGCCGAATCTTTTAGGGGTTGTTTGCGTTGGGTTTGGATATGCCTCAATCTGTTGACTGAGTTGCTTCTGGTGTTCGAGTTCCATTCATATGTAGCACTACCCGAACCCGATTTGGCTCATATCAGTTTGGCATACCCTCATCTTCTGAACGTGGGCCTCTCTATGAACAGGAATCTCTTGTGGCGCATGCGCTATTCTTTTTGTTCATTGCTTTCATGATGGTATTCCATTAATCCCGCCAGAAGAGTTTTTAAAGCGATTTATGCATGTCATCTGGCAAAATGTGTGAGTCCTGCCATGGCCTATGCGGGCTATAGAAGAAGGGCTGGTAGAAATAGGGCTATTAAAATATTTTCAAGGTAAGTACAAGTAAAGTTAACAAGCTGCAGCTTGACTAAAAACACTTTTTAAAAACTTTAAGTTATTAAAGCTATGGGCAAAACTATATTTATTTACCGTATGTGGTGTTTTATTTAAAAACGTAAATATTGAAAAATTATAGAAAGAATTCTGGTTTTCAGAAAAATATAAATATTCACTTCGTTGTTTAGCTAAAATTATGGCGATAGCTTAATCATAGAAAGAACTATCCCAGTGGGTGTTTTTTCTTCCCAGTTGTTTAATTTAACAAACAGATCTATTACGTCATGACCTAATCTGGTTGATAGAATTGCTAATGTAAAAGGTAAGGTTCATGTGATGAGATGTTTCCATGAGTATAATCTACAGTTAATAGACTTAAAACGAAATTAACGTTTAATGTTTAACTAACCTAAGTCTTTTTCTTGACCTATTTTCTTTGTTTTTGTCTTTGTGTCTTTTGTTTTCATTGAGTTCTGTTCTTTGTTTTAAATGAGGGCAAAGGAAATACGATAATTTTTTGCAAACCCATTCTTATAGTTGCATGAAAGATATTTTTGGTATGGCACAGATTTGGCATTGGCAAGTAAGTTTATAATTCTTATGGCAATAAAAATCAGAGCAAATGACAGGAATCAATCCGCTATAAGTGCTTTCAGCAGCTCCTTCAATCGATAACGAGCTTTTCTTGGCTACTAAAACTAACCCCTCCCTCGGACAGCCTATTTTGTGGACCCCTCGCACTGCTGCACTTGAACCAATAAAAGAAGAATGCGGTTCATAAGGTTGTCCGCTTCCGAGTCCTCCATGCTGTTCAGCTTGGCCGAGATGAAGCCGCAGAACTTGGAGTTAAGGACCTCACGCACTGTTTGCGGGGGCGGCAGATCCAGCCCTCCGCTAGTAACAGCACCCTGCTGCTGGCGAAGATGACGGTGCTGTTGCAGCATCTGCTCCTCATAGTCGTCACCATCAATGGCAGCATCGGCATCGCCATTGCCCTCCTCTAGTCCGACCTGCTCTACGTTACGGCGCCGCTTGCGTGATGGGGCTACATCGTCCACGCCCGCATTAGTGCTCCCGCGAGAGTTGAAGTCCAGAATCAGGGGGTATGGAAAGTCGGCGTCTATAGCATCCAGCTCCTCCACACCGTCAGATGCGTGGCCGGTGTCCTCGTCCCCGCTGTGATTCGAGCTGGCATCGATGTCGTCGTAGCAGTGCTGAACGTGTTGGTTCTCGTTTCGAGTAGAGCTCACCCGACTGTCGTTCTGAGCCTGATGCTGGTGTGCCGGCAACGGAAGTGGCCCTCCGGTGAAACTACTGCCGCTGCTGTTGCTTCCGGCCCCATTGCCCGCCGAGAGATCCAGCTCCGGCTTCACGTAGTAGTCGCTGTAGTAGTCTTCGCCGCTCATGTTCTGCGAGGAACATTTGGAGAGATTCAACACTGAGGTTGACTCGTTGAAAGATGTTGAGAGCTTGAGGGCCCCTGCCTTTCCGCCTGATCCCAGGCTGTTAGTGTTATTATTATTATTGTTGTTGTGAATATGGCCATACGCAGCCAGGCTAAGATCGGTGGCATGCGAAGCCCCCCTAAAAATAGAAGCGTGGAAAAAATGCGTTAAATTGTTATAACTGACAAAAGAAGTATATATTATAAGAACTTAAAATATTGCAAAAAATTAAATCTATATGTAACCCATTAACACTGTAAACTACTGTTAGACCAAACTAAGTTTTTACAGCTTTTTTGTGAACTAAAATGTATCTTGTCAAATGATATACACTTCGTCATTTTTGTTGGGCCGCCTTTTACAAAAAAAAAAGTACATGAATAATTTGTATTTATTTCTAAAAAACGCTAATCGCTTTATTGTATATATATCTATATACTATACTACTGTACTACTACCACACTTTGCAAATATACCGAAACCTCTTACGGATTTACTAAAGCTAGGAGGTCTGTTCCCCTTAAATGAAGAACAATTAAGAGCGTTTAACTTGTTAAAGACCGTTTTATTAAATCCACCAGTATTGGCCATCTTTAATCCTAAACGTGAGACTGAACTGCATACAGATGCTAGCTCATGCAGAGACAAGATGATGGCAAAATGCACCCAGTATTATTTTATATATATATATTATATATATACTTATTTTATATTTTATATATTACTTATTGTAAATGGTGCCCGATTAATAGTTTCTTAAGCCATATCCCCATAATAAATGTAGTATAAAGTGATTTTAACTTTAAATACGGTTAAAAATAAGTGAGCTCAAAATAAATAAATTTCAAAATTTGTTCGTAATTTTGATGTTGCCTGTGACCAATTATAAAAACATTTTCCTTCGAAAACAGGCCATATTATTAGCAACTCCACTTTAAAAACGTGCTCAAACAAACCCCAAAATCCAGTTCAACGCAATAATAAAATCTGCAGAGAGGAGGAAAATATTTCAATGTCCCAAGCCAGTAGTCTGGTTTCCTGTCTCTCCCTGAACGAGTCTCATGTTTCAAGAGCATTTTCCCATACAATGCAGCTGCCTAGAGCCGGGTGCTCGAAAACGTCTGAACGTGGCTATTTTTGGCCTTCCCCATCTCTTTAGGTATTTGCCAATGCCGCGGATGGGCTCAGTCGGCTGCTACTCGCAGGGATATTCCGCTTTTCCACTCTTCGCTGACGTCCTCGCTTCGCGGCTTATCACATAAATCGGCCGCAGGTAGTTGACAATTGGAAAATGTTGAAAACTGATACCAACTCGGCTGACAAGCCCAACCAACTCGCAGGACTAATCACGGCGAAATACATTTTCACATGTTCCACAATCACGAATGGCTCTATTTGCTTGCGGCTTTTGAGGTCTTGACTCTAAGTTGGTTTCGTTTCTTTTTCGGGTTTGAATCACCCGGCTTATCACTATTTGCTTCCGCTCGGGCCCAGGTCCCAAACCAATTACTCTAGTTTGTGGCTTAGTTTTCGCTGGGTTTTCGAGGTTTCTTATCTATAGATCTTGTCCGAATGCACTTGGAAACCATTTAAAGACGTCTTTATTATGATCATGAACCTACCCTTGCGCCTAAATTTGGATAACAACTAAATAAGTCACTGCAAATCAGGCGTCTGCTTAGTACGAATGGAAAAGACCTCCTTAAAATCCACCGATCTGCCTTAGTCCCGAAAGATCTGGAAAAACCCAAGTACCGAAAAGCAAATGCGGGATAACGCCCACTTTTTTTCCGTGACGCATTGGCTAAAGCATTCCAAGACGAATTTCGCCGGACAGTGATTTCGGGGCGTGGAGTGCGACCCGGAGGATGGGGACCCAGGGGAGCCCAGCAATTTTAGCAATTTCGCAGCTCATTTGCTTATTAAATCATAAGCGTGACACAGACAGAGCTCGTCAGAGCACTCACGCCCAAGCGGCCTGTGTGTGTGGGTACATCAGACCCAGATCGAGAGAGGACTGATGAGAGTGAGTGCGGGCATGGGCGCGGGTCCGGGTCCGGGAGAGGGGTCCAGACCCCGTCTCTGGGTCGGAGCAACCCCTTGGTCGGGACCGACGTGGATGGCTAATGGTCGTGGGCATATTTTTAACCCTGGCCGAAGCCGAGCAGAGCCGAGCGATTCGTTCAATTGCTCACCCATACACTGGCGACACATATTTTCTATATATGTATGCATGTGCATGTATGTATGTATATTGACAAAGCCTCGTTCATTTTCCCTCGCCACCCCCTTTCCCGTTCACGAACTGCGAATCTTTCCTAACTTGGTCCACTCGCAAGCCGTATTCTTCAGTGCTGATTGTCATTTTCGTAGTGCTCTCATTAATTTATCGCTCTCGCGCCGCCTTCCCTTTAATCCCCGTCCACATCGAGCGGCTCTTTCCGTCGGGCTTGCGTTTGCAGCTTCCCTCAATTTCGTTTTTGGTTCAAGTAGCGACGATGCTGCGCCGTTGAATAATATTCGCTGCTGGGCGAGATCTGTTTTATGGCTATGGCTATAGCTGCGGCTGCGGCTTCGGCTCCGGCTCAAGCGCTGCCCGACTGGCCGGGCCCGTTGAGCTGTCTGTTATCAGCTCAAAATAATAAAAATTTAAATATATACACACACCATGGGTGAGTGTGCGCGGGCATGTGTCGGGGCCGTCGACTGCTTGTTGCCCATGTGGGTACAGTCAATTGAAAGGAAATGGCCTTATTTCATATAAATATGTACATAAAGTACAACACACACACACACACACACATCGCAGCTCGAGCACGGCTCCATATGAGCCAGAACATTGGACGGGGCAGACTCTCGACTGAGACCGTTTGCGGGTCTCTGGCCCGGTCATTCCTTTGTTCGAATTGGTTTTTTCCACATTACCGCTCCTTAGTGTCCATATGCCCCTGTCCGTTGTTTGTGCTATTCTTTTTCGCTGGGCAGATGTTTTCTTAGAGTTGAGATTTGTTCGACGGGGCTTTTATGCAAATCGACAGGGCTCGGAATAAGTTGCCCATAAAATGGCTTGCGGATATTTACAGGGTTTTCCTAATTAGGTTTACGGTAATTTATCACTACCGAATATAAGATTGCAAGCATATGCTTATATGTGTAAAAAAAATATATGCATTTCTAAATTGTATATTTGATCAGTTATTATGAGTGCTAGCCTGGGATTTTTGTAAACGTTTATATTATACATTTATTATACTTTCTGACCTTGTATGAAATTTCGATTAAATTAAATGCATAACTCCAATAAGATCTTCTGCAGTTGATTAACAAAAGAAGCTACTCCCCGAACTGATAAGCTACTTGGTATTACCCTGAAATCATTTTTGATTAAGCTCCCGCTAAGCAAGGTTCGCTTCACTGATTTCTGAAAACAGCAAACATGCATAAATATATATGTATGTATGTATATGTGAAAACGGCAACATTTGGGAAAACCTTTAAAGGCACGAGCACAAATCTTCTAAACCATCGTTGCAACTTATGTACAAGATCGGTGTGCGGAGGGTGACTCATCTATGGACTTAGTTTACAGTTCTCAGTTCAGCATGAATCAAGCTCTCTCTGACAAACCCCAAAACAGAAAAAAGCGAAGTCCGAGCCAAAACGGAAAGCCGTTATTCACGATTCAAAGTGCACTTTGACCCTTGATCGTAGCTCATGACTCGATCGATGGCTAGTGGCTTATCGCACGCATGGTAATACAAGTACATACACAAAAGTACTCCTGACACAAATAATTTCTTGAGTGAAAGACGATATTTTTCATCAAGAATATTTACATAGAAAAAAACCAATCATAAAATAAAACGATTCTCTCACACATGACGAATTTAATAAACTCCCCCCTGAACTTTACCTCGCATGTCTTAAATACGTCAACCTAAGTTTGCATAAGCAGATAACAATATTTTATATGAATATAAATGGAATTCCACGCACAAAAATTATTTCTGAAAGCCTAGTTTTATATAAACCCTACATTTTGTATAAACTTAATCATCAGACTTTAAAACTACTTAAAAGAAATTTGCTATAGTTTTAAGAACTACAATTGACTTTGAAATTATAAACTATAACTTTTGACTAATGCAACCGCTAGTTGAAACATGTAGACATGGCCATCATACAAAAAAACGATCTTAGAACTTTATGCAAGATATTTTCATAATGAACTCACTTTCTCTCTCTGATGACGTCGCGCAAGAAGTCCATGGCCTCATAGAGGCTCCACTTGGGTTTAAAGTCGGTACCCATCAGCTTGACGTGGGCTAGCTCCCGGCGGTAGGATTCCCGCAGGGACTTGAAGGCCCTTGCCACGCGTCGGCCGGGGGCGTTGAACTCGCGTCCTATATGCTCCCAGGCGCGATTTTTCTCCTCCTCCGCGCCCTTGAAGTTCGGAAGGCGCGAGTCCCAAAGGATCGGTTTGTCGTGGACCATTCGAATGAGCTTCAGCTTGTCGGAGGCGTTGCGCCGCACCACTGTTCGAAATCAGAAACGAATAAATTAAGTAGGAAGAAATGGCGGAAAACGCAAGTTCTAAAAATGTATTTTTCCGATTACGGGCAGCCAATATCCAAAATTTTATCGAAGCTCTGTTTCGACAAAGCCCAGTGAACACAACACAATGAAAACTTCCCGAAATTGCAAAAGTACACACATACATATTTATATTCTATACGATCGATGTAGATATGCAGTCCTATTGGCAACAAAGAGAACAAACAACTTCACAACCCGTTTGACCTATTCACGTTCGGTGTGCATATGCTTTTTGCTTTTTACTAATAGGGCACAAATGTGGGTACGCACGTTTCTTGGCGGGGACGGCGGCCAGGGGGTGGGGCTCCCCTTTGGGCTTCATGTCCAAGGCGATGGCCGCGGCAGCGGCGCTCATATCCTGCAGCGAGTGGGTGGCGGTTGGCGAACAGCCGCTCACGGGGGCCATGAGGATGTGCTGAAGGATCTGAAGGTTGGAGCTGGCCAGGGCTCTCGATTTATCTTACTTTCGGAACGCGTAGTGGGCGGCTCGAATCGGGGTTCCTACCCTTTCACAAATAAGTTAAAAGGGAATTTTTAGGGCAGGGTAGCTGCTTTTATTTCTACGTTCCGCTTTTCTTTTTGGTTTATTGCGCGAGGAGCAGACGAGAGCCGCACGACCAATGCGGCTACAGCCACGAAAATTGTACGAATAAGTGGCAACTCAAAACCAAGACCAAGACAACAACCACCGCGCCGAGCGGGCAGCGCTGCGCCGGCGTCGACGGCAAGCCGGCAGCGCTGTTGGCAGCAAGCCCGCATTTCAGAGCCAAAAAATCACGCGCACACGTCATGAGAGCCAGCTCTCTGCGCTCTATCTCGCTCTCAGACCACGGCCTGCTGCCACCGATCCCGTTATCTGCGACGGCGGCGCAGCCCTCTGCTAGCTGATCCAGGCATGTCGGTCTAAAGCGCTCTCAATCGGCGCTCCGGAGAGCGGGATCGCGACTCTCCGGACGGAAAACGCCGTTTAATTGCAATCACAAGCCGCAGAAAGTAAAAGCGAGCGAAAAGCAGCGTCGCACGCACACTACCATGCAACCGTGCAGAACAAAACAAGAGAATGTGTAATACAAAAATCCGTTGACGCGTTCGCCTTTGGCTTCCAGCGGCCGACAGAGTGAATTGTTGAGGCGTTCAATTATACCTATGTATGTATGTATGTATGTAAATATGTGTGTATGTGCTGTATGTTTTGATCGCCCTTCTTGACGACTGTTTGCCAAATACCCTACACAAATGGGCTTATTAGCTGGCCCACTTTCCGTAAAATCATTGAACGGAGACACTATTATTTTAGTTAACAAATAAAGTTGTTTGTGTACATACTATATATATATGTATATATATTGGGGCTTGGGTTCTGAAATACGTACCTCCTTAAAGCGCCATCCAATACTCCTTAAATATAAAATTGTTAGTACATACATACATATGTACATATGTATGTACATGTATGTATGTGTAGTGCGTCGTTTGATAAATGTTATTATTTTTTTTTTTTTTTTTGTTGGTATGTACAAATGTATGAAAGCATGCGTATATGTTTTTACATGTACATACATACATATTTACAAACTCGTAATACTTTGTAATAAAAGGAAAATTAGTTGTTATTGCACACTACATACATACATATGTAGATAGTACATGTTTATATGTGCTTTAGTTTAATATGAATATGTACATATTTATGTACATATGTACATACATACATATATATAAAAATTTCGGATTGCCGAATAATGTTTTTGAAGGACGGTTTTCAAGTGCAGATCCGTTTAATTTTAGCAAACAACTATGCAAGTATGCATGTATGCACATATGTATGTATGTATGTAATTAGCTTTCCTTGGCTTAATTACTGGGGCACGCTGAGTTTGTCAATATATGTATGTAGTTACATACATATATTGTACATACCCAGAGGCCCCAAACGCTTGCAGTCTTCTTTCATACGGATTCTAAGTTATTCGGGGAGGGGACTTCCAGCAATGAACAGTGAAACGGGGAGTTGAGTTTCTGGCGCTGAGTGTTTTTGTGTTTTGTAGCCTCCGTCTTTCGCGGTCTTCGTTCGCTGCATTTATAGAGGCGAAGTTCAGTTCATTATCGTATTTCCTCGTTTGTAGAATTTACAAACGAACATTTGGATCACACATGTTGGTCTTGCCAAAGAGCGACAGGAGGGCAAAAAAGAGGCAAAGAGCGAGAGGGACTGAAATCTGCGTGTGTGTGAGTTGCAGCACAGATAAGACCGTCTGATGTTATCTATTCTGTCCCCCGATCATTTAAGCCGCTGAAATCCAGTAACTGCAATTGCCAGGGAGGGAAATGGCGAATAGAAAGCCAGAGGAGAATGAAAACGCTTGTCTGTACGTAATTTATGCCTAATGAACTATTTCCGGCCAAGTGTCAATTAATGTATTCTGTTTTGGGGCAGCACAACGTGCCCGCACAAACGTTGTCACGATCATTTTTCTGGCAAAACTCTGCGATCCCCGCCCTACATATGTACATATCTGAGCCCCCACCCTCCTGACCCGGTCAATAGTCCGCTTCCGCTGCAGTTCTCTTCTCCACCGCGAACGGCCCTGTTTTGACGATTTTAATCGGTAAAATACAAGATACTATACATATGTACATACATATGTAGGCAGGCCCTTCTTGTTAAATTCTTACAGCTATGTACATACGTTTGTATGTATGTATATTAAAATTTGTTTTCTCCTTGTCGGTGATTGCTGATTAAATTTGTACATATACATACATACATACATACATTGTCCTTAAGTTTTTATGCCCATTATTCAGAATATTGTATGTTGGTACTTTAAATTTGATATATGTACATATGTATGTATGTATATAGTATGATATAGTATTTACATAAACGTGTGTGTGTATATGATCCCAAACTGTGCAAAGATGGTCCTGTTGGTCTAAACTAGAGTTGCCGCGAATAGTGATTTTGCCGAATACCGAATACCGAATGTTCGGCCATGCTGTAAGCCGTAGCGCCGAATATTCGGCACAAAGTACATGCTACATTGTTGCCAGTTTAGCTTATTATAAGCTTGTAATGATGATGAGAATAGTAGTACAGATGACGATTCTTCTCCACCTCGTAAGAAAAGGGATTTGAACGAAAATGATAAGCGGTTTGAAATACATGACATTTTTTGGAACTGCTTTGAGGAAGTTGCTAAAGACAATATGCGAAATAGTAACACTAATCATGAGGAGAAAGTGGAAAGGAATGCTGTGGCAAATGAAATAGATTTTTATTTGAAACCAATTCGCCTAGATCGGAAAGCTGATCCTTATAAGTGGTGGTCAGCAAATGTAAAACAATACCCAATCCTCGCGAAATTTGCCAAAATTTATCTTTCCTCTCCCGGGAGTAGCGTCTATAGTGAGAGGTTGTTTTCCGAAGCAGGTATTATTTACGATGAAAAGCGGAATCGGTTACTACCGACAAATGCAGAAAAACTGGTGTTCGTTCATCACAACTTACCGCTAATTAATTTTACTTATTGACATATTTTAATTTAATAATAAAAAAAAGTTTTGATAAAAGTGATGTGTTTTTTTCATGATTTGGCACTATTCGGCATTCGGCCTATTATTCGGCCGAATGCCGAATACCAAAAAAAGTGGCCGAATACAAAACTTTACTTTGAACAGGACATCAAAACCAATCTTTTTTTCGAAATTAAATTGATCAAAAGTCGACTTCGTTCGAGCATTAAAAGAAGATCGACTGGTTCATTTGATACTTTTGATGATATTGTTAAGAATTTTGCGATGAAAAATGCCGTAAAAAGTCTTTTTAATATAAAAATTCGAAAGTACGTTAGTTTTTACTGTATACATACATTGTAAGCAATTTACTTATGTTTTACTCTACTCGTATACGAGTATTAGATGACTAAGCTGTATTAGATGACTAAGTTAAAATTGCGATAAAAAATAAATGAAGTGAATTGAAGATTCTTTTTGCATAATGTAAATATTTTCTGACCGCAAAAGGCCCCCACACATTCATCGACCCTGTGGCCCCCACCATATTTATCCGGTCCTGAAGAAATATATTAATGTGGTAGAAAACTTAAATTCGGAAGAAAAATGAAAACTGCTCATTTGTGGATAGCTAATCGTTAAAATTAATAGTAGGGGAGAAGTGGGGGTTGTGGGCATGGGTCGGTTGTGGGCACCCCTACGTATATTTTCACAAAATGAAGATTGAATTTTTTTGGTAATGTCATTCGCAAGCAATTACCCTATGTATGATTTATGCCAAATATCAAAGTAAACGAACGCGTTTGCTTTTTGAAATTAACGAATTGGTTTTTCTTGTGCTTGGAAAAGGTGGTGAAACTTTATTCAAAGATTTTCAATAGTGTATCAATTAAAGTGAATCGATTAAAAAGGTAAGTGTAATGCATTTTTATTTACTCAAAGCAATATACTAAATGGAACAATATCGATTTGAACCAAAAAATTTATGCAAACACATTTTTTAATTACTTCTTAAAATGCCTGCGAAAGTTGGTTGTGGGCACCAAAATTGGGTGGGTTGTGGGCACCCCTTTTTTTTTTGGCCATTTTTTTTATTACCTACAATTTTTTGTTAAAATTGTTTTCAAAATTTGTTTGGAACCCTCTAGAACATTATTGTAGAAATCTTAGGCTCTTGGAAAGGGATCCTCTCCCGCTGAGAGAGATTATCACTTAGATTTTAACACTTTATTCTTCATTTTTCATCCGAAATGTGTGGACATGCGGGGCAGTCATTATACATGTCAAAATTGTGTTTCCGACGATGAATAACGCCTATGTAGTCTTTGAAATAAATAAATTGTCATTTTGTTGATATTGGTTGCGGTTTTTTTTTTCATATTATTCCATTTGCAGCATTTTATCCCAGGGTGCCCACAACCCCCCCAAAAAAAAATTTTTGCTGAAAATTACGATTTTACAAAAGTCCATATGAAATTTTTTCGCATGACTAAATCAAGTATCTTTCTTCATAATTAGTTAGCTTAGGTCTCTAGCTTTACACAGATACCCATATGTCCAAATAATATGCACTAGTTCGGTAATTATAAGCCAAAAACAAAACTATGCCCACAACCCCCACATCTCCCCTACATACATATACATATGTTATTAGAAATATAAAAGCATACATACATATATGTGTCAGTGATTGTGGATTTCGTACGAATATTCTGATTATTCCTATATAAAGTCCCATGATAGCCTTACTTGTCTCCATGTAATCACTAAATTAATGCAAATAAAGTATTGGCTGTAAACAGAAAGCTTATAAATATTGACTCAGGTCAAAACGTCAGGGAAAAGGCCCTGACAAGGGGAGTTCTTAAGTGTCAACGTATTTAGATTGCCTTCTTACCCATCGATAAGCCCGAAAACGAACCCCAAGTGTGCACTGTTCGCAAGCCAACCGAACCCAAATCAACTCAATAAAGCCATTAAATTCATAAACGGTATCAAACTCCGAAAACAGAGTTCGGTGATGGGGGATCGCGGTTTTGTAAACAGCGCATGGAACAAATTTAGACCATATTGAGATCATTTAAACCAACATTTTTCTGAAGAACCAATCGACTGAGACGTCAAAAAGGTACGCTGCGTTTGG